GAGAGACTGACAACCATGTTACCATGATGGTCCAAATTAGCTTTCCATGCAAGGTCATAGAAGTAGATCTAGGGTGATATCTCCCTAAATGGCTAGTCCATGATGTTATTAGATGGGAGGGAGAAAAAAAATACCTCCTTATCCCACAGAGGTTTATTCAGTTATCTGAAGGAGGCAATATTTATTCTGAGCACCTTCAACTACATTATAATCTGAATCTGATTGGCCAATCAAATATAAAAGACTGGTTATTAAAAAATATTTTTTTTGCATGTTTCGAAGGGAGGTGAGGATGGAAGAAAAAAAGCAATTGGCCCCTGAAGTTGTGGGAGGGTGGCTGGTTGATGGTGCCACTGACCGGTTTAAAGAGTAGTTACACCAGAGAAGGCTAGCAGTACAGATGGTGAGCAGAAGGCCTTGCAGTCTTGCTGACTTGGCAACTTGGCTGAGGATGGACCTCCTTAAACTTCAGTGGGATACGGATAAATAGAAGGCATGCACCAAGCTATTTTAATCATGCAGCTGCAGATGTAGGCAGCTCTACATTGTAGGATTTGGAAATTTCTATTTTTAAAAGCATGATTGCCCTTGGTTAAATTAAGGAGCTGGATTCCCATTAATGAGTGCCAGTATTTATTTATTTATTGAGATAGGTCTCACCCTGTTGCCCAGGCTGGAGTGATTGGCACAATCATAGCTCATTACAGCCTCAAACTCCCGGCTCAAATGATCCTCCTGCCTTGGCATTCTGAGTAGCTAGGACTACAGGTGAGCCCACTATACCCACCTAATAAAAAAAATTTTTATAGAGACAGGGTATTTCTGTGTGGTCCAGCCTGGCCTCAAATTCTTGGCCTCAAGCAGTCCTCCCACGTTGGCTTCCCAAAGTATTGCGGTTGTAAGTGTGAGTCATCATACCTAGCCAGTGCTAATATTTAGTTCACCATGTAGTTCATATAATATTACTTTCTTGTATCATTTTTGCTATTGATATAAAAGTTTCCTTGACTAATTCCAGAAAAAAAATGGGAGAAACTTTTTTTTTTTTTTTGACATGGAGTCTTGCTCTGTAGCCCAGGCTGGAGTGCAGTGCGCAGTTTTGGCTCACTGCAACCTCTGCCTCTTGGATTCAAATGATTCTCCTGCCTTAGCCGCCCCAGTAGCTGGGACTGCAGGTGTGCGGAGAAACTATCTTTAGAACACGTATTCACTCTTTATGTCTCTGCCTAGAATCCTGATGCCCACCCAATTTCTAGAGTCTTCTTGCTCTCTTGTTTTTGAACCTATTGTTTTATGTTATGGTATATACTATGCATTAAAAATATAGCTGCTTCCAAAATCACTGAACTAAGCTGCTTCCCATATTCCATTAGAGGGAATAAATTTAGGTTCTCCAGGTGATAGGAAGCAATTACAATAAAGTGCAGGGACGTTTGGAGTCCCATATTTATTTTTCATCACTATTGTCAGAAGGATTATTTGGAGATGTGCTACGAGCCTCACACTGTTCTCAGTGTTGCACATTTTTTTTTTTTCTGGGCCCATTCAGCTCTGTGATGCCACATAAGTCATACTTCTACATTTTGTACTTTTCTGATATTTTGTCATTAGAATAAATTCAGAGTTTTGTAGATTTTGCCAATGATGTGGGGCTAAAGTTTATAGAATATAAATAATTGTATAAAACATAAAGAATAGAGCCAATTTCTGCTCTTTCAGGAGGAAAACTTTTGCAACACCTTTATTTAGACCATTTTGGCATCAGAATTAGAAAATAAAACCCAATTTTTGTTACATAATTTATATATTTCTTAAATTACCCTGATCACTGCTTTGGAATCATCCAGATGTTCCATGAGTTTTTGTTCAATTTAATTGAATTGAATTATTTTCTGAAATTAAAAGGGGTTGTTTATTGAATTCTCCAATGTTGCTGCCTTTTATTGACTGCTAGCAATTTTAAATTAAAATCATTATTTTTCATAATTCCCACACTTACAGAGTTTAGCGTTGTCTATATCTTCCCCTGGGCTGAACTAAAGAGCGTAACTTTTTATAATGTAGTACATTTTACCCGTGATTACTTTTTTTTTTTTTAAATGGTTACTTTTTCTTCAGATTATTGCTTTAAAAACAGGATTAAGGATATCTACCAAAGCTTCCATGCCTTTTTTAGCAGCTTTCTTTAAAGTTGACATATATCAGAAAGATCTCCTTTCTAACTAAGGAGCTTTGTCAATCTTTAGAGCTGGTAATATCTTAATCTTGATTTGTGGCACAAGCGTGTGTGTTTGTGTGTATGTATTTTAGTATTTTTTCTCTTACAGAAAACAAATGAAATGGCCTTTTAAAAATCCAGCCTTCACGTTTGTGATCAGAAAAAGGAAATCTAATTATATTTTTAGCTTTTGCAGTTTCTACTTCTCATCAATTATTTTTACTATCAAATGGGAAACATATTTGTTTCATACTCTGACTTCTAGCCTCTTTCCATCTAAATAGTTTTCATCTTAGCCACTGGGTTGTGTTTTCTCTTCTACATTGGCTTTACTTACATATATAGTTTAACACTTTCTCCTACAATTTTTAAGATTCACTTCATGGTTAATGTCTTGCAGGTAATATCCTGCATTCTTTTCTCTCTTTTGTTTACCTGGAGTGGTGGTTGGACTGCTTTCACTTTTGCCCAAATTTTCATTACCATAGCTAGGTGATACAGCTCTGAAATCTAACTTAGTAATGCTTTGAAGGCTTTCAGTGTTTGAATCTTTTACTTTTTGCAGTTCCAATTCTAGTGAGTATGAGTGACAAATGATCAGCAAGCAGAAGCTTAGAGATGAGAAAGAGTCATTAAAGGGTAGAAACTGATCTTGTACAAGAAACAGGTATGAAGCAGGGACAGGAGGATGAGGAGATAGAATTTTTGAATCCGTGCATCAACAATTTTGTTCTCTGAGACACAATGGGGAAGACAGGTTTGTGGATACCACTGGAAATTTTTGGATGGAAAAGAGAAAGTGTCCATGTAGAGGACTTTCTGTCTGCTCAGTAAAATGGGAGGACGAGGTCACTTGCTAAAGCAAAGTTGAGACTGGGAGCTTCAGGTCAATATTTGGCAGAAAAGAAGCAAAAGAAAAATATAAAGCCGAGAGTAAGGAATGTGCTGGCTCAACATGGACCAAGTCACTCTGCTGCTTAAAGCCTTTCCTCAGAACTGTTTGATTAGCAAGCAAAGTATTTTTTTTTCTTTCTTGATATTTATTAATGTTGTGTTTTGTCCTGGAGCATAGTAGGAGAAACAACTTGGGATGAATGAAATTATATCAATTGGCCTCATGTATCTTTGTAACATTTTCCTGAGCTTAAACTAGGGTTCCCTTTAACTGTGTGCCCAACACCATCATATAGTCAGGAGTTTAGTGTGTTTTGGACCCAAGTTGAACTTGACATTCATCCCAAGTGCAATTCTCCATAGATTGTAGATAAGGAAGCCCATCAGACCATGCTCTGATTGCCCAGTCTTTGCAATGGGCCCTGCCAATTCTTGCCATCTTTTAAATACAAATATACTTGTTGTTGCTGCAGTACCTTTGGCTAAGGTAACTTCTTGTCCACCTGGCAAGGATTTCCCCTGCCCACCTAAACATCCTTTATGCCTAACTAGACACTTTTCATCCTTCTAGACCTTGCCTTAAACTGGACCTCCTTCATAAACTTGTCTAAAGCTGCAGCTGTTTTCTTACCCTCTCTCTCTCTGAATAGTGAATTCTGCCCAGTGCAAATCTTTGTTTATATATTTTTCTCTGTTTTCTTAGGTAGACTGTGATTTTCTTGTGAAAAGGACCATATCTTCTATGTGTCTCTTTTAGATCCGTTCACCATAATCTAGTACTGGGTGTGCATTGCATTGCATCTTCATAAATGTTTGGAATGGGTTTGTCACTGCTGTTTGATCTTCTTTTCTTTTCTTTTTTCTTTTGGAGACAAATCTTGCTCTGTTGCTCAGTTGGAGTGCAGTGGCGCAATCTCAGCTCACTGCAACCTCCACTTTCCAGGTTCAAGAGGCTCCCCTGCCTCAACATCCCCAGTAGCTGAGAATACAGGCATACACCACTACACCCTCTCTAGGTTTTTGTATTTTAGTAGAGACAGGGTTTCACCATGTTGGCCAGGATGGTCTCAATCTCCTGACCTCAAGTGATCTGCTCACCTCGGCCTCCCAAAGTGCTGGGATTATAGGCATGAGCTACTGTGCCCAGCCTGGTGTTTGATTTTCATAAGGTGACACCAATAGTTGATCTTTAAAATATGTCTACTTCCTATATTTGCTTTTTATTGTGATGCTACAGATAAAGGTTATTATAGTTAAGTATTTTTGGTTTTTCAGCTTTTCTTAATAAGCTTTATTAATTTGGTCACTTAAAAATTACATTTTAATTTACTTTTTACTTTTCTTTCTTCATTTTCCTGGTCCTGTATGTTGGTCCTGAATCATGACTCTTAAGGATGCTATGGTAACGTAACAGAGAATTGTTACATTACGTTGTTCTTTGCTCTCTTCTCTGAGATGTGTTCAGCTGTGAAGATCTGCTCCATCACTCTTTTTTTCTTACAGTTCATTCCTAGTGATTAAATTATATCTTTTATGCCCTGTATTTTCATTATTTCTTCTCATATAGGCAATATATGATCACAGCATGTCTGAGATATATATGTCTCATAAGGATATGCACTAATAATATGTATGAAAACTTAACAATTTAACTCATAATAATAGGTCATTCCGTGTAACTTCTCATTGGGTTCTTATTGGGTAGTGGTGATTTGCATGGCTCGTTCACGCCAAGGAACATTTTATGCAATAAAAAAGTATAAAAGAAACATTTAACTTGAATAATAGATTTATTGCAAATTAATTACAAAATATATTTCATACAAAAGAAATGAATTTACCACGAAACTACAAATGGCATAAAAGTACATATTTGTGTTCCTTTTAGGAATCGAACATTTTAAGTCCAGTGCAGGATGGAACCAAGAAACCTCAGATTGACAGCAATAAGAGCAATAACTACCGGATTGTAAAGGAGGTCAGCAGATACAAAATATTCTCATAGAGGTTTATATTTGCATGCCAAATAATTTTTGCTTATATATTATATTTAATATTGTTATTTGTTATATTTCATGCTTTTTCTCTTCTCTTTAAAGATCTTGATTAGGCTAAGTAAACTCTGTGTACAGAATAAAAAGTGTCGGAATCAGCATCAACGATTACTGAAAAATATGGGGGCCCATTCGGTGGTGTTGGATCTTCTGCAGATACCCTACGAAAAGGTTAGTCCTTGTTATTTTTGTTTCTTTAGCTTATTTTCATACAGTTTCACATGTTTTGCAAAATTCCAAGGAATTTTTTCTTTCTTCGTTATTTGAGAATAAATCACCCACTGGGTGCCCCATCACCCCGAGCCCTTTTGTGTATTTTTCCTACAAACAAGGGCACACTACTACATCACCACAACAGAGCCTTCCAAATCAGGAAAGAGCATGGTACTTTACTGTCACCTAGTCCCTATACACTACTCAGATTTCTCCCATTGTCCCAATTGTTTTTGGTTTGAAAAAAAGATCCACTTCAGAATCACACACTGTTCAATTGTCATGTTTATTTAAATGTCTTCATGTGGGAACTCCCATGACATTGACACTTTTGAAAATAGCCAGTTATTTTGAAGGATATCCCTTAATGGGCATTGTCTGATGTTTCCTCATGATTAGATACAGTTATACATCTTTGGCAGGAACATAACAGAAGTGATACTATGTTTGTCTCATTGCTTCCTATTAGTTGGTGCACAATTTTGATTTGCCCCCTGACTGATGATGTTCACTTTGATCAATTGATTGAGGTTGTATCTGCCAGGCTTCTCTAATTTTCCCTTTGTAATTCCCTTGTAATTAATAAGTATTTTGTGGAGTAGTTATGTGAAACTAAGTAAATATCCCATTCTTCATCAAACTTTCAACTTGTTCATTTATTACGTTTATTTTTATCAGTATGGGTTTGTAGATATTCATTTTATTCAATAGGCTACAAACAGTTCTATCATTATTTATTTTCATTACCAGATTGTCTCAGATTTGGCCAGTAGAGTTCCTTCAAGCTAGATTATCTGTCCTCTAACATTATCCCACCATTCTTTGAGTAATTCTCACACAATAAAATGTTCCAGACTTACCTTGTACTCTTCTTGCTTCAACTGTAGAATCAGAGATTTTTCGAGAAGCCCCATTTCCATTTGGTGGGGAATGGTATTTAGGAGCAAAGTTCTGAGAACTGAGTGTGCTGATTGCTTTGGAGTGTTGCCCCCATAGGCCCTCTAAATAGACAAAGCTAGGGAATATACGTATGTATGTGTGTGCATATATACATTTATTTAATAGTAATATAAAATACCACTCAAAACATGAGTCCATTTGAATTTCTACCAGTGACCACTTGACAAATTGTACAATCAACTATACAGGGAAATTTTAGGTAGTTTTGCTGCTATTGTCACAAGATCTCTTTTAAGAAGACAAATTTGCTTCTCTGTGAATTTTGAGATTTAATTTCCTTGTTAAGATTCTTATAAGCAAATGATAGTTGCATAGTATAGGACTTTGGAAAATGACAGTGAATAAGAAAAGTCACTTGAGTGTTAAGAAAGAGGGGGACAAAGAAGATGGGAAAATAAAAGAGAAAGCAAAGAGGAAAAGGAAAAGAGTGGAAATAAGAGACAAGGTAAATAGCAAAATGAAGGGACAGAGAGACTGGAGAGAGAAAGAACTGAGATGAGTACTAGTAATCATATATACAGAGAAGATTGACAGAGTAGAAGAAGAGAGGAAGTTTGAATGGGGGGAAAGGAGTTAGTATAGAGCAGGAGGAAAGGGGGCAGGAGCAGGAGAAATAATAGATGGAACAAGAGGAGAAGCAGAGAGGAGAAGGAATAGATGTGGGAGAAACAGTAGGAAGGAAGATGTATGGAAAGAGGGCGAAATAGAATGGAGAAAGAAAGAAGAAAAGAAGCAGAACAATGCAGATATATAGACACACTACAAAATGAGGAGACATTTAAAGGAAAGGAAGAATTATGGGGACTGGAGAGTACAGCAGAGAGGGGAGGAGAAATAGAGAAAGATAGGGACAGAGAGAAGAAAGGAGGACAGAGGAGGTGTGGGGATAAAGCAGAGGAGGAAAAGGTGGCTATGTACAGATGGGGAAATGTGGTGGACAGTTGGAAGGATTGGGGAGGAAGAGAGAAAGGCTGTAAAACAAAGGGGGAATTGGAAGAGTAGAGAAGAATAGAATCAGGAGGAAAAACAAAGAGAAGGTGAGAAAGATCTAGAAAACAGAGAAGCGAAAAAGAGGGGAGACTGGGAGAGGTGTGAATCATAAAGGAGAGAGGAGAAAGGAGAGCAAAGATGGGCAGAGAGAAAAATAGTGTGTGGATGAAGGATGTACTTTCGCATACCATTTGCAGTCTCTTATGTTTGTTTCTATCATGTGCTATTCTTTAACTTACAGAATGATGAAAAGATGAATGAAGTAATGAATCTAGCCCACACGTTTCTGCAGAATTTCTGTCGAGGAAATCCACAGAATCAAGTTCTTCTTCATAAACATCTGAATTTGTTTTTAACTCCGGGTGTAAGTATTTTAGCTTTATTAGAAATATTTCTAAACATTTCTAATAAAGTGTGCATCAAATTTGTCTTAGTAACATTCATGAATAGAGTTTTGTTAAACTTCATTGCTTTATTTTTTTCCTTGTGGAAATTCCCTTCACCAAAGTGAGTATCTTTTATTTCCATTAAGAAAACTTTTAAAGAAACTTGAAAAATTGCACAAGTTTTGCATGCAAATGACGTCTTTTTTAGGTATATAGTTAAATGTTAGGGAAAAGATGTGGTAGAACAAAGAACTAACTCACAATACCATGAGTAAGATAAATATGGAAAACTCAGAGGTGGAGTTTGCCCTTGTCTGTAAAATGTGTTTGAGTAGATTTTATGGAAGACCTAACTTTGAATTCATAATTAATCTCAAGAATACTGTTGCCAATATGTTGCACTTTATGATAATAATCTCCTTTCTCCAACTAAATTCCTCTGTGAGCTCAGTTTTCTTTTAATGGCTAATGATCTCATTGCATTTTTTGGAAGACTTGCACAGAACATTCGCTGTGGCTCTGTATAAAATATAAAACTGATCACAAGCAGGGCAATTAGTCTAAGTACTGTAGAATAGAAAATTGATCTTGTCAGAATTACAAGTGCATGTTTCTCTGTGTTTAGCTCCTTGAAGCAGAAACCATGAGGCACATCTTCATGAACAATTACCATCTGTGCAATGAAATTAGTGAGAGAGTTGTACAGCACTTTGTGCACTGCATTGAGACACATGGCCGCCACGTGGAGTACCTGAAGTTTTTGCAAACAATTGTAAAAGCAGATGGTAAATATGTGAAAAAATGCCAGGATATGGTAATGACAGAGGTATGTTCTCAGTTTGCCTTTTATCAGCTTTATATAAACAGTATGTTCAAATATGTATTTTCTATTAATTTAGAGTGAAAAAAACCCCTAACAATATAGATTTGGAAAATTGTTTAGTTTAATAATGACTACTTAAGTGCAAATATATTTTTGCTTTAATCTAGTGAAACAACATATCTTAAGTTGGGTTTATGATTTTCTAAGTTTATTTTTCTTTTTGACCCATAACAAATTTGCATATTTTAAATAATGGGTAAAATCCTGTGAAATTTTATTTATTTTTTGGAATGAAAGTGACAAAATATTATATCCTTAAGTTTCCAATAATATAAGAAAGACAGACTGAACTGTGCTTTTCCAGTGCCTTTATTGCCGTGTTTCTGAAATATAGAATGGGTGTTCTCTGATGCTATTTGGAGAAAGCTTTGAAGAAAGTCAAACTAAGTAATAAAAACTATCCAATAGTGATTTATTACAGCATATGGAAACTTACTATTTAAAGTAAGTTAAAAATTTCAGCAAATGAATAGATGAAGGTACTTCATCTATTTATTTGCCTTTTTCATTTTTATGTTTGACCTTGAGTGATATTTATGTAATGAGTAAGTTATTAGGCAGCAAGTATGATACATTAAAGAACTAGCAGCTTAAAGAGCCCGTTGATTAAATCACTGCTCTGTGACCAAATGGTTCTCTAGTGGCCCATATAGATTAAGGGAGCTTCCACCCATGGCTACCAAACACTTACATGGTAGATTTTTATTGGTTTCTGGGCATTTTCATTATTGTATACCTTAAATTTGGGAATGGAGGAGATTTCCATATTAATTCAAGGAATCCCTCCTGCCACTTAGAAATCTCAAAATTAATTTATCTTAAAGCCTTGAATTTTTAAATGTAAATTATTGTTATTAAACATTTTAAGAAACATTTTAAGCTTGTAAAATGCACCTTTTTCTTACCTGCATTTACCTTCACTTTGGCTCCTCATTGTCTGGAAATGTGGGAACTAACTGGATTTTGTATTATGATCAGCAAGGAAAGAATTAGAATGTGAAAGCAGCAAACAGTGAAGCCATTCCTATGACACTGTTAGGTGAAGTGTTTCTATGCATAAAGAAGCAATCGTAATATTATATTATATTAATATATAATACATATTTTTGACACATACGCATTCTTTTTCAACAAAACTTTCAAAGTAACCAATTAATTGGCTTATAGATGTAAATAATTTGTCACTTTAAAATATAATACATAGAGAAAAAATTATGTATCCTTAGTTATCCACCAAAATATCTCATACTGGGGTTAGAAAATTAGTCCAGATAATAGACAATAAGATATTATGGAGTTTGAGTAATAAAACTGCCACCTGAGGGAATTTTCTACTAAAATTATATAAACAAAGTATGAAGGAAAATTTATGTCCTAAAAGCCCCTACTTATTCATATCTTTGTCTTTCTTGGTTTTGTGTGTGTGTGTGTGTGTGTCTTAGTTTTCTGCTTATTTCTCTGATCTCTGCCTTTGCCTTAATTCTCTAATGATGCATGGAATTTTCTAGACTTTTGTAGAGCTGAAATTAGCTCAATTTACTTGATTACTTATATAGTCACTATTGCAATGGGTGGGATATTTCATTCTTCTTTAGTAAAATTATAAGATTTCTTGTGCTTTGGCGATGGAGTCTTCCAAAAAAAAAGTAGAGGAAAATAACTTTTTTTTTTACAGGTTTAATTTCAGTGTGATGAACAACTTACTATCATCTATGTTGTTTCATTCTTGCCCCATCTGTTGCTTCCATATCACTCCAGCTGGTTTTGATAGTGTTCATCAACTGGTTCCCTGGCATGGAACCATAACCTTTTCACCACCTTCCCCCAGCATAGCTCTGCTTTTGTCATATTATATATGCTTTTACAGAGAGATACATGTTTCCAGATATATCAAGCCTTTGAAAATAACTGCAAGAATGAATGTGTGGACTGCTATGTAGACTCTCTTAATTGTCATTTCAGTTGATAAATGGGGGTGAAGATGTGCTGATATTTTACAATGATAGAGCATCATTTCCAATCCTGCTCCACATGATGTGTTCAGAGAGAGACCGAGGGGATGAGAGTGGCCCCTTAGCGTACCACATCACCCTGGTGGAGTTGCTGGCAGCATGCACAGAGGGGAAAAATGTCTACACTGAAATCAAGTGTAATTCCCTTCTGCCGCTGGACGACATAGTGAGGGTGGTGACACATGATGACTGCATCCCTGAGGTAAGCCTGGCAAAAGCTTAGCGGCTCTAAGAGAATCATTATTAAGTTTTAAACTTTAAGTGCCAGAAGTCCTCCATATTACTATTTATAATGAGATCATGTATTTAGTCAAGGAATTGTATTTAACTATATAATTTGCAAAATGTAAAAGAGCATAAAATGTCTGCTTTTTAATAAGACCTATAAGAAGTTCTGAAAGATAATAAACTTTTTTTTTTTTTTTTTTTTTTTTTTTTTTATTAAATTTTTTTTTTTTTTTTTTTTTTTTTTTTTTGAGACAGAGTTTCAGTCTGTTGCCCAGGCTGGAGTCCAATGGCATGATCTTGCCTCACTGCAACCTCTGCCTCCTGGGTTCAAGCAATTCTCCTGCCTCAGTCTCCCGAGTAGCTGGGATTACAGGCATGCATCTCATACCCAGCTAATTTTTGTATTTTTAGTAAAGTCAGGGTTTCCCTGTTTCATGTTCAGGTTTCATGTTGGCCAGGCTGGTCTCAACTCCTGACCTCAGGTGATCCACCCACCTCGGCCTCCCAAAGTGCTGGAATTATAGGTGTGAACCACTGCGCCTGGCCAATGAGAAACTTTTAAGAGCTATAGCTACTGCTAGCTTAGTGTAAGCCACTAGACAACTCTCTTAAATTCTAACATGCAAGGTGATCAAACCGAAAGGTTTACTTGAACCTTTAGTATATTCTTGAGAATAAATGGGTGCTTTGTAAATGATTCATAGTCATTGATTGGAGAGGCTAGGATAGTGCTGCAGGACCACATAATAGACTCTGCAGGTTTACCAGGCTTTATGGAATGATGCATTCATGAAGATATGCACACGCAGTTTGCTTTATTCCCACATCATTTACCCTCTGTCCTAGTTTGGCTCTGATGATAGAAAAAAGTCTCAGTAGCAGCTGGTTGTCTGCCAATAAGTTTCTATTAATGAGGCTTCCAGGAATGTACAGTACAAAAATTTCTTTCTTTTCTACTGTTGTATGTTGTTGCAAAGCTTATAAATGTGTGATACACTGAAAAAGATATAGAGCCAAACATTTAAAATCACAGTAACTTCAAAAAGTATCAGATAAGGTTAACTTCCCTACTTTTAGATAATCCTATGTAGTGATGGACTTGAAAGCATATTTTTGTGAAATTTTGTGGAATTGTTGACATGTCAATCCAAGGATACTTCATGCCTTGATTGGTTTGAAATAAGATGACAAAGAAGGGAAGTCTAGTCTAATGATGAAGTCCCTGGGCTCTTTCCTTCCTCAAAAGCCTGATTCTGGGTATATTTCTTCCAACATGTAGGTCCCTCTGACTCTACCACTCTTACCTCTTACATTTATCTAAGTAACTCCTCTTCATCCTTTAGATCTTAATTCAAGCCTTGCTTCTCCAGGGAAGACTTCCTTGGCCTTCCTTAGTACAGTCTGTAAGAATATATAATTTGAAATTTGACATGTCCATCTTGTTAGTAGGAAAAGACCTGTAACCCTCATGCCCATCCCCAAGATTGTAAGTTCTGAGAGTAACAATACTTGGATCTGTTTCTCTTCACTGTTATATTGTTTGACCCAGAGCCTACATCAATAAATAAGTGTTGAATGAATACACAAATGAATTAAAGAATGAATCAGGATCCTGGATACATTACACTCTAGTTGTGTGACTGACTCCAATAGATTACTTAACTTTTAAATTTCAATTCCTTCAATTTACTATCATCTATATTATTTCATTCTTGCCCCATCTGCTGCTTCCGTATCACCCCAACTGGTTTTGATAGCATTCATAACTGATTCATTGGCATGGGACCATAATCTTTTCACCACCCTCTCCCAGCATAGCTCTGCTTTTGCCATATTATATATGTTTTTACAAAGAGATACACATGTTTCCAGATATATTAAGCCTTTGGAAATAACTGCAAGGATGAATGTTTGGACTGCTGTGTAGACTCTCTTATTATCATTTGTGTATTCATTCAGTTTTAAGGTGGAATAATTATTGTATGTACCCGATAGGATTGTTGGAGGATTAAATTAAATAATTCATACGAAATGCTGATGGTATTTGGCACATAGGAAACACCGAGTCAATATTAGCTGCTGTGAGGATAGTTGTGAGAATGCACTGAGTGGCCCACGTCTCTGTACCCTGTGGCCATCCTTGACATGGCACTCTCCCATTGATGGTTTGTTCAGGCTCAGTGAAGTACAGAGAAGCATGAAGGGTATGAAAGCTCTCCTAAATTTTTTATGGTTTCAATTTGGATTCCATGAGTCCCCTTAAATTGTTCACATGATTTTTTATGTATATGCATTTTTTCAGAGAGATTTATAGATTCATCAGATTTTCATAATGAAGGAAACGAAAAAATGCAAAACAAAGATCACTGCTCTATGTGTTTTAGAAATGGTGTATGTTAAGGATATTCATCCCAATCCTTTATGAGGAATTTCACTAATTCTGGAAAGGAATTTTACTAGATTTATATCTTAAAATAATATACATTTTGGGGAGTAAACTATGAGCTTATTTCTTCTCAGAAAAAGTAATTTAAATATTTTTGAATGGCAATGAAGTATTTTTTGGTCAACATATTTAAATGTTTTACTAGGACTCTCTTGGTTACAAGTGACAGAAACCTAATATAAACCAGTTTAAACAAAAAAGGAAATTTTATTGGCTCCAGTACTTAGGAGTTTGAAGTATGCTTATTCAGATGGATCCAGAGGTTCAAACAGTGTCAGAATTTATTCTGTTTCTCATCCCTTTTTCCTTCATCTTTCTGCCTCATTCTCTTCTGAGTATATTCTGCCACATACCTGGAGAAAGACGGTTTCTTAAAGTTAAGGTTTACCTCGTTTCATTTTAGCAATGAGATAAAAATGAAAGAGTTATTGAGAAGAAGGAAGAGGAGGAGGACTAATGTATTTAGTCAAGTAATTGTATTTATATAAATTGGAAAATTTAAAAGAGCATAAGAGGTCTACTTTTTAATAAGTTCTGTATGAATTTGACAAAATTTTTTCAAAAAAAATTTGAAAGATAACAAACTTTTAAGAACTATAGCCACTGCTAGTTTAGTGGAAGCTGCTACACAACTCTTTTAAATTCTAAACATGGCAGTGTTATTAAACTGAAAGGTTTACTTGAACCTTAAGTATGTTCTTATTTATTTATTTATTTTTGAGACAGTGTCTCACTCTGTTGCCCAGGCTGGAGTGCAGTGGTGTGACCTCGGCTCACTGCAACCTGCACCTCCTGGGTTCAAGTGATTCTCCTGCCTCAGCCTCCTGAGTAGCTAGGACTACAGGTGTGCGCCACCACGCCTGGCTAATTTTTCTTTGTATCTTTAGTAGAGACAGGGTTTCACTTTGTTGGCCAGGATGGTCTCGATCTCCTGACCTCATGATCAGCCCACTTTGGCCTGCCAAAGAGCAGGGATTACAGGCGTGAGCCACTGCACCCGGCCCTTAAGTATGTTATCGAGCATAAAACAGGTCCTCAAGATAGGGACAGGATTGCAGGGGAGGGAGGGAGAGGGGAAGAAGAAAGGGAAAGTGAGAGGAAGAAGGGGTTGCTTTGGACACCTAGTGTCTCAAATATGATAGGTTTGTTTTGCATAAAGTTCTTTCTCACAGCAATTGCTGGGCCCAGGGGGATGGAGTACTAGGCCCCACGATTTCACAAGTAGGTCAGTGGACTCAGCAAAAGAAGAGAAATGGAAATGCTTTCTGGATAGACAAAAAATATGCTTTGATCTACCATAAAAACTAACAGATTTTATGTTAACCTTTCATAATTGGTATTTGAAAGTCATCAATAAAGAAAACTAACTTTCTTTTGTATTTGAAACTTGCACAGGTTAAAATTGCTTATGTGAACTTTGTTAATCACTGTTACGTTGACACTGAAGTGGAAATGAAAGAAATCTATACAAGTAACCACATTTGGAAATTATTTGAAAACTTCTTGGTGGATATGGCAAGGGTAAGTTAGATTTTGACCATTGAAGGCAATAGATATTTTGACTAATAGCATTAAGCATCTGGATGAAAACTTGCAGTTAAATTCAGTTTTGATTTAATGCATTCATTCATAAAGTTGTGAAGAAATTTCAGAAGATTGTGAATGAGATTTAATGAGTTAATATATACACAAAATACCTAGTACATTGTAGATAGCAACAGATAAGGTGTTCATTTTTATCTTTATGAGTGACTGTATTTGTCTGTTATTAAATGGAATCTTAGTGGCTTTCTTATATTGGTTAGAGAAGATACTTGGCAGAGGTCAATTTGCATTTAATCTCTTACTCTAAGTGGAATTACAAAGCACAGATAAAGAGACCTGAAGAGGTCTTGACTACTGCTTTTAGGCAGATAGGTACTTGACTAGCCGACTGAGGACTTAGCCTTTCCCCCTGTTGCCTATTCAAAATCTTCTTTGGAAGTGTGCTCTAGTAATTTAATCATCTGGCATTTTCACTCATGTCCACCAAATTATATTCTGCTTGTTACTGTTTTTTTTGTTGGGGGCTGTTGTAGAGGACTTGTGGAGCAGATTGGCATTTTCTAGATACTGCCTGGCATATGTTTTTGCTCTGTTAATATTGAGTAAATGAATGAATGAAGAAAGAAAAGAAGTATGGAATCTCTTTGATAGGTGACACAATTTTCTTTAGCACATCTTAGCTTTTTTTTGCATACTGAATTATCGTAACAGCCAGGGTCTAAAAAATCTCTAATTTTCCCTTTAAAGTTATAGGACTTGATGTTCACTAAAGATGGTGTATAGCTAACTTCTTAGACCTATTATGTGTGATGGTGGCCTGTCTCAGCCCCTTTGGCCTTCTAACATTCCTGAGCACTGGTAGCTTTGTATAGGCCTCATATAGCTGTATTTGGAGGAGAAAGATTAGTGAAGTCCATATTTTCATTATCTTAATTATAAGAATGGATGCTGTTATCTGTTAGCTCACTGCCTTTCTACAGCTTTTTCTGAAAGGAGGGATGCATCCTTCCTTTCACTGCCTGTAGACTCAGACATGTGAGAGCACCCTTGGATAATACAGTGAATCATGTGTTATTCAAGACCATGAATTCTTTTTATTTAGCCAAGGTTTCCAGGTGAAATGCACTTATTTTACCTTTGGTGTGGGGTAGTGTGGTGAAATGAGGTGGTTCTTGTTTTACTTCATTTCCATACTGCTAAAAGCCAGTTATCACCTATCTTAGGTACATACACACCTATAGAGAAATTGTCCTGTTCTGTGCAGCATTTAACATAGCACTTGTATGTGTCCCCATTGACCTTGTGAAAACCTTAACTCTGACCAGCTATAGTATCTCCAGAGACCTTGAAGTAGGGAGTGACTTACCTGCCAATGACTGAGCTTTAAAACTGCACGTGCAGGAGGATATTAAAGAGATTATAGATGGATCTTCACAGTTGCACAGTGCTGCTGACTAAAGATAATCCTGAAACAGATCAAGGTCACATTGTAGGCAGTATGAGCTATAAAGCTGAAAGGATTTTTATTTTTTAAACCAAAGAAAGCCAATGATAACTTCCATTGATTATGTCACCTGGGAAACACTGTTTTCACTGAGGTATTTGCCAGGCAAAAGTGTATAGATTTACATTTTTTGAAAAAAAAATACACATATAGAGATGATTTTTATTTTAACTATTACTTAATTGGATAATTAATGTTATTTATTATATTAAAGCTCTAGGGGAATTTCAAGATCTACTTGATCTATTTATTCTTATATCTAGCCACCATAGGTTAGCTTTTAAAAGGTTTTTAAAAGTATTTCCCTCTTGTTTATATTTTAAAACAGCAGCTCTCTAATCCCTTTACCAGGGTTGACAAGGATCACCCTTCCTTTTTCAGGGAAGGACATAGAAACCTGACTTTTTCATATTTGGGATTTCTCTCTCTCTCCATGAAGAAAGATCAGAGTCACCACAAACTTTCAAATTCAAGTTATAAAAATAAGTATGGTTAAATGTGTAGAATGTGGCCTTCTAGGTAAATTTGCAGTTCAGTTGAGCAGTTTTTAAGTTTTAGTGAACATCAGGTTTAGCTGGAGGCCTTGGTAACATACAGATTGCTGGGTCCTATCCCCAGAGTTTCTGATTTCCATACATGTGAAACTTGGAATTTTTTTGTCTTCTTTTTCTTTTTTTTTAATTGTATTTTGGGCTCTGGTGTACATGTGCACATCCTGCATCCTGCAGGATTGTTGCATAGGTACATACATGCCATGGTGGTTTGCTGTCTCCATCCCCCCACTGCCCCATCGCCTACATCAGGCATTTCTTCTGGGCCTCCGCATCCTCCCTGCCCCCCTGTTGTCCCTTCCCTCCCCTCCCTTCCACCTCCCCCACCTAGCCCACTGAGTGTTGTTCTCTTCCCTGTGCCCAGGTGTTCTCATTTTTCATTACCCACCTATGAGTGAAAACATGTGGTGTTTGGTTTTCTGTTCTTGTGTCAGTTTGCTGAGAATGATGGTTTCTAGATTCATCCATATCTCTACAAAGGACACAAAGTCATCATTTTTTATGGCTGCATAGTATTCTATGGTGTATATGTGCTGCATTTTCTTTGTCCAGTCTATCACTGATGGGCATTTAGGTTGGTTCCAGTCTTTGCTATGGTGAACAGGGCTACAACAAATATACGTGTGTGTATCTTTATAACAGAGTGATTTATAATCCTTTGAGTATATACCCAGTAATGGGATTGTTGGGTCAAATGGAATATCTATTTCTAGATCCTTGAGGAATCGCCACACTGTCTTCCATAATAGTTGGACTAATTTACACTCCCACCAACAGTGTAAAAGTGTTCCTTTTTCTCCACATCCTCTCCAGCATCTGTTGTCTCCAGATTTTTTAGTGATTGCCATTCTAACAGGTATAAGATGATATTTCAATGTGGTTTTGATTTGCATTTTTCTAATGACCAATGATGATGTGTATTTTTACATATGTTTGTTGGCTGTATATATGTCTTCTTTTGGAAAGTGTTCATATCTTTCACCCACTTTTTAATATGTTTGTTTTTTTTTCTTGTAAATCTGCTTTAGTTCTTTGTAGATTCTGGATATTAGCCCTTTGTCAGTTGGGTAGATTGCAAACATTTTTTTCCCATTCTGTTGGTTGCCAGTTCACTCTAATGATTGTTTCTTTTACTGTGCAGAAGCTCTAAAGTTTGATTAGATCCCGTTTGTCTATTTTTGCTTTTGTTGCCGTTGCTTTTGTTGTTTTAGTCATAAAGTCCTTGCCTGTGCCTATGTCCTGGATGGTGTTGCCTAGGTTTTCCTCTAGGGTTTTTAGGTGAGACTTGGCATTTTTAACAAATTCCTAGGTGATGCTGCAGATGCTGGTCCAGGGACCATACTTTGAGAATCACTGTAGTAGACCATAGAGCTAAGAGTAGGGATTTCAAAAGATTTAGCCAGACCAGAGTTCAAGTCTAGGCTCTGCCTCTCGCAGCTCAGTTTGTCTTGGGCAAGGTTCTTAAACCCTCTGGGCCTTGAGTTTCCTGGTTTTTAAAATGAATACCATAAAAACACATTCCCCATAGGGTTAGTGGGAGAATCCAATGAGATAATGTATATAAAACTTCTTAGCACGTATTAGCATCAGTAAAAGAGTTAGTAACATCATCCATATCATTGTCTCCAGTATTATTACAAGGTTATATGTAGCTTTTTAATTAGTTTCAAGAAACTTCTCCAAGACCTACACCAAATAATTGAGGATAACCAGAAGACCATTCAGCACAGGCAAAAACTAGAAATTATGTCCATAAAGCTGGACATCCACAGCAGTAGTTCACATGAATAGCCATGTATGAGATAAACCAAATCCAGAAGTTCCAACAAAGTTATGACACCCAGGAAGAACTGATTTATATCCATGAGAAATGATGAAGGCAATCTGGAGGAAAGGAATTTGGATAAGTTGAACCTAAAGAATCATAGCATCTAAGGGTTGGAAGAGACTAGTAGTCAAATTTATGTCCAGTTCATAGCCTTCAGCACATATTCAAATATCTGATTAATAATGATCTTACCACTTTTTTCTCTTTCTTTTTATTTTTTGTGGATAAATAGTAGTTGTATATATTTATGGGGTACAGGAGATATTTTGATGCAGCCATATAATGTATAATGAACACATCAAGTAAATGGAATATCCATCACCTGAAGCATTTATCCCTTTTTTCTGTTACAGACAATCCAATTATATTCCTTTAGTTATTTTAAAATGTACAAGAAATTATTGTTGACTGTAGTCACCCTGTTGTGCTATCAAATATTAGATTTTGTTCATTATTTTCAACTATATATTTGTATCCATTAATCATCCCCACTTTCCCTCTGCCCTAGTACCCTTCCTAGCCTCTGGTAACCATCCTTTTATTCTCTATCTCCATGAATTTAATTGTCGTAATTTTTTTAGTGCCCACAAATAAGTGAAAACATGCAAAATTTGTCTTTCTGTGCCTGGCTTATTTCACTTAACATAGTAGGATTATCTCCTGTTCCTTCCAAGTTGTTGCAGATGACCGTATCTCATTCTTTTTTATGGCCTCATAGTATTCTATTGTGTATAAGTACCACTTTTTTTTGTTGTTGTTGAGATGGAGTCTCGTTCTGTCGCCAGGCTGGAGTACAGTGGCGCAATCTCAGCTTACTGCAATTTCCATGTCCTAGGTTCAAACGATTCTCTTGCCTCAGCCTCCCAAGTAGCTGAGACTATAGGCGTGCAGTATGCCTAGCTAATTTTTATTTATATTTTTAGTAGAGAAGGGCTTTCACCATGTTGGCCAGGATGATCTCGATCTCTTGACCTTGTGATTCACCTGGTTCAGCCTCCCAAAATGCTGGGATTACAGGCGTGAGCCACCGCGCCTGGCCAGTCATGTTTTTATCCATTCATCTGTTGATGGGCACTTAGGTTGCTTCCAAATT